CGGATCCACAATAGATCCTGGGGTATCCCGGGATGCCCTTAAAAAAAATTCAGTATTGTAATTTTTTTAGAAAAATTTTGTTTTATGTAATGTATATATACATAATATTAATATGTTTAGTGAGATAATAACACAAGTTGTAGTTGGTTTAGATGGTTAAGGTATTAGGTGGTGTTTTTGGAGGTTGCAAGTTCAAATCTTTTTTCAAATATTTATTTTCTTTTATTTTCGCAGCTCTTTTTATATAGCTTTATATGGATTATGTATATTATATTATGATGTTGTGAAAATTAAACACAAGAATTGAGTTGTCAAAGTGGTAAAGCGTTGAACTTTTAACTTTAAGGTCCTTATTTTGAATCTTGGCTCTTACACGGATGTACTTTATTTTGTTTATCAGTTTTAACTTGTTTTTTAAAATTCTAAAATTGTCTCACATCGCCCATAACATGAAACATAGCTCCTATACATCTGTTATATAAGCAACACAAGCTTCTCAATTCTCAACAAGTTAAACTTTTGAATGGGTTTGGGTTTAAACCCGAAACCGAGTTTGGAAAACCGAGAAACCGAACCCATCGGTTTGGGATACCCCTTCACTTTGACCATGTCTCTGCCACTGGTTAAAATGTTTGAATAGAACTAAAGACTTAAGTTAACAAAGAACTAAAGATAACAAGTGTTGGTGATTTGTTATCATCAATATTATTTAAGTGTAATGTGATTACTTTGTTGACCAAAAGTGTTGATAAATATTAAACAAGTAAGGAAGGTGTGGAGTACACACTTGTTTAAGTTTGATCAAGTTTCAAAGTACACTGTCATTTAGGGGCGAAACCCCTAAACGAACGGGGGTCCGGGGGCAGCGCCCCTTGGAGCGGGGTCCAAGGGGCGGCAGCCCCTGGCGGGGTCCAAGGGGCAGAGCCCCTGGTTGGGGTCGAGGGTATGTTACTATATTAAAAATGCATCAGAAAATCGGATTTTCAGAGAATTGACCATTGTTTGACCCTTATCCAAACTTCCGTTTTTATGTCAGTTTTTATAGTTTTATGACAGTTTGAAACTGTCATATGACAGTTTTCAGACAAAGATCATAAAGTCGGTTTCGGTCTCATTTCTGGCATATACGAAACTATCATCAAAACATTCTAAGTTCTTGTCTCTCTGAGTCTTATCCGATTAAAGAATATTGGGAGTACCACCCAAATGCTTTAATCTGAAAGTGTTTAACACAATTCTCAGAATTCCAAGCCTTTTTATAACCCCGAAAATTTCTTACAACAAGTACATTTGTATGGTAACTATTCAATATGGTGCGCATAAGTTGTAAAGATAACTAATCACTTCTTACAAGGGCATGATACTTTTACTATTAGGACGGCTTTTAATCACTTCTTACAAGGGCATGATACTTTTACTATTAGGACGAGTTTTAAAGCCGTAAGAACTCCAGATCTCATGAGAACTATATGGTTAAATGTGCTTAGGCACAAACAATTTCTGGGATGAGTAATCGTCTGTTACTAGATGAGAGCAATTTCCATGATGGTTGACCGCCTTGTAAAGTTTTTGGTCTGTGTGTCTCAAGATGTTACAAATGATATCAAGCCAGGACACGGATCTATGTGTTTGACGAGGACATCGAACCTCATCAGACATCATCAGGAATATCAGGAATATGTCTGGTCCATAAAGATATTTTTTTATCTGTTACAGCTTATAACATATAAACCAAACCAAAAGATCAGAATTAAAAAAAAATGTTTTTAAATTCTTCTTTTCAATATAATTCGTTCCTTCCATTCATCAGTATTTACTATTCAAGTCACCTTCATTTTTGTAACGGATTTAACCCACCTACATATTGGGGTAAAGTTGAGACCCCATTGAAGTTTTGGCTGCAATTAAGGAATATGACGTGCGGAGCATAATATCATTACCCGTACGGGCCCCACTAATTCCTTTTTCGGCTTTTGTGCGATATTTTATCTAACAGACATTGTTTTCCTTGTTGATTATCCCCCTCTAAACGAAAGCCTTTGGTTCAATAATGATTATCGAAACATGGTAATTGGTTATGAAAAGTACAAAGGGCCTGACCCAGTGGGCTGTAATATATAAACGTACATATACATTAACATCCCCAGTCCCCACAGTCGAGAAATGTTGAGTCTGGATAACAATAACACAGAGATTTCTGCATTTATATTCTAAGGTTTATTATTTTCAATTTAGTTTTTCAGTACAATAATAGGATATTTCATATGGCAGAGTGTTAAGAGAAGAATGCCACATAGGCACATATGCAGTTTTTCACGACCAAAAGTTGTCAATTAGCTTGACCGTAATCTTATGTTATTAACCATACTCAGTTTTATAAGTTCGATAATATTGTCAAAACGTCTTTTTTGTTAAGTAATTTATAAAGCCTTTTGTCATTAAATAGTTTTATGTATTTTTCTACGTCATAATAGAAATTAGTTTAGATTTTAGTAATTAAAATATTAATCTCTCCCATATTAAAAATGAGTTCAAATGTATGCAGTTTTTTTTTCGTGGGAAATATTTTGTTTGAATATTCTAATAGTTTGAGCTGTAAAGAAATTGTAAGTTTGTAACCTGGCCATGTTTGTCCTTAGACTCGTAAATAAACAAATAAATAAAATCCAGTTAAGACATCCGATTAATGTTTATTTTGTTGAAGACAAGTAATCTAATATAATAATACTCTTTGCTCTTAATATATATAAAATAAAGTTATGTCAAATTAAACTATTATATTTAATTTAAACAAGGGACAAAATAGTCTTTGGCTTACAAAAGAGACAATAGATGGTCCCAATGAGAAGTTAGTTACACCGGTGGTCCATAAAATTTGAAAATCTTGCACCGTAAGTATTTATGGTTAACTCCGTTAAAAAGTAAGGGTTAAGTCCATATGAGATTATCAATATACAATTTCTAAACTTCAAACTTTTTTAAAAATGAAATGTACAGCGATCGTAGTGGTTTTCTTAATTTTTCAAGGTTATAGGTGAGAGGGCTCACCTATAACAATAGGCTAAGTTGTCCATTTATGATTGCTCCGCAGTCCGCACACCCTACTCCTGGCCACTAGAGCAATGGCAACGTCCTGATTCCAACTTGGGCAGATGGGATACATATATGAGATTTGTGGCAAAACAATTTACACGGCTTCATAACAAGAACTTGCAACACGCTTTTAGGAATTACTCACATCAATGGTAGAGTTGGGGAGCGTGTTACATAAAGGCGGCGTAGAAACTACATAAGCAGAAGAAACTTATAGAGGAATTGGAGTGCAAAGAAGGGTTGTTTTACTACTATTATGGAGAGGCAAGAAGGGTTATTTCATTATTATTATGGTGATGATTTTGGTATGTCTGTTATGTCTATTGTGTGTGTGTGAGAGAGAGAGAAGGAGAGAGAGAGAGAGAGAGATATGTTGAATTATGTGTCTAAGCCCATAACTATAATTGGTATGTACTTGAATTGAGAGTAACACAGTCCTTTTGGGATGTCTTAACACTAACAACTAGACATGATGACTTATTGAGAAAGAGAAAGAATTTATTATTTGATTAATAAATTTTAGTAAATGATTTATTAATGTATTATGGAAATAATATATTAATTAGAAATCATATTATTTAGTTAATATTTAATCAGAAATTAATTTGGAATTAATTTTTGGATTAAAGAAATTAATTAAAAGTGCAAGGGTCATTTAGCAATTTATTTATAGTTGTGGATTTGGGCTCTTGGACCACCCTAGAAGGGTTGGAGGAAAACTGCTAGGGAGGCCCTAGAATTTTCGTCCAAAGCCTTAGATGGGGAGTCCATGGACTGCTTAGGCCTTAAGCTAAGAAATTAGGGTTTCCTCCAGCAAACCCTGGCTTTGGCTCTAAGCAACCACATCTATATAAGGAGTTACACCCCCTGTTGATTTCGGCCACTCCAACCCTAAAAAGAATAGCCGAAATTTGAAGCTTCCTCCTACTCTCTCATATATCATCATCTTGCTAAGTGTGTTTGTGAGCCATTAGAGGTGTTACACTTGTGCCACTAGTTCTCAAGCTTCTACAACAAGGAATTGTTTGTTATTACTATATAACATTCAAAGGTTAGTTTACTATCTCTTGTTATGAATTTCGAAATTACTAGATGCCTCCTAGGGTTTCTCCTTTTGTGTTCAATACTTGTATGTTCAATTAGAGAAAACATAGATCCAAGAATTATGATTGCATGCACACATAGGGATTGTTTGTTATGCTCAAAACCCATCAAGAGAGAGAGAGAGAGAGAGAGAGAGAGAGTTTTGTTTTTTCTTTTTTAATTATATATCATTTTAATAAGTCAAAAAGTTAAGAAATGGTACATAAGTAATCTTTCATGAACTTAACCCTTACTTTTTTTAATGAAGTATAAAGCTTTACGGTGCAAAATTTTCAAATCTCAAAGACCATCAACTAAACAAAATTTCCACATGGACTATTGTGGTCTCTTTTATGAATTATAAGGACCATTTATATAAATTTGTATTTAATTTAGACAAACTTATACGATTGGTCCATATCAAAGTAGTTGGTTGACTACAAGTAAAAAAAAACTTCTAGGTGCTTTTCCTAGTTGTTTCAGTTTCTTGTGTGGTTGGTTCATATGATTTCATTTTGTTCCATAATTAAATTACTATTATATCCTTACTAAATTATATTACATATAAATTGATTTTATTAAAAAAGTAGTTAAATAAACACCACCCATCCCCAAACTCACTTACTCACCAATAGAAATCCTTAAAAATATCGACATTCTATCATTTTTATTCCCTTATTAGACAACTATCACCAAACTCTTTTATCGACAACAAGAATTGTGGTTGTTGGAGCCACCTTTACTGCTGACCAACATCAGCATCATAGCTTACGTCGCTGTCGCCTCTTGTTTTCCCTTATTCATCTCAAACTCACTTCCGGCCAATGTCGCCTCTCGGCATCACCTTCCATCATCTCCAACCATCACCTCCATCGTCTACAACCACCACCTTCATCGTCTCCAACCATCATCTTCATTGTCTCCAACCATCATCGCCTCATAAGGAGTCATTGATGGTGTTGGAAGGGAGACCACCGGAGGTTGCGGGTTTCGCTGGGAAATTGACGGGAATAAGGAACAATGAACAACGGGAGGAAGGGTTAGGTTTAGGGTGGGTCAACACATTTTTTTTTCTAATTTAATTAGTTAAAAGAATTTGAAAGTAATATAAAAGAAAAAAATAGTCCAAAATAAGTTAAAAAGAATAGAAAAGTCATTTATATGCGTAAATGACCAAACACACAAAAAAGTTGAAACTATAGGGGCAATGCATAAGACATTTTGATAGTTGTCACTCTATGTAAGTTTTGACAAACCAAAACCAAAGAGCCCAATTGTAATTTTATCTTTAGTTTATAAAAGGATTTATAAACCAAAATAATATATTTCTTTGTTTTTTATTATGATACAAAAGGAATCCTTTCTAATAAATGAAGGTTTTTATTGCCACTTGTCAATCTATCATGAGTTTTGACACTTGTCATTTTGTGGTATTTTTGAAATAAATATTATCCACTTGTCAATTTCTGATTTGTTTCAATTTTTAAAATTAAAGTTATATATTTATATATGTAAGGTATTAAATATACTATATATGAAATTAAATTGCAATTAATATGTTTCTTCCTTTCTTATTTTAAAGTTTTACATTAGAAAATGTTTACTGCTTACATTTTAATGTTTAGTTTTTTAAAAAAAATTAACCCGTATAATATACGGGTCTCACACGTAGTAATCGATAATGTAAAGCATGGTAAAAGTTCTACTTCTACCGGTTCTACCCAGATTATGACAGTCTCTTTCTCGAATATTAAAAATAAAATAATATGTTTTTTCCTTTATTTTTTATGGAAAAGAAAATAAAAGTAGAAAAAGGAGAGTGTTTGGTCAGCATACGTTAAATGAAATGGCGACAAACAGCCAAACATGAGCCAATGCGTTTCCAGCAAAGAAATAGAGGAAATTACAAAACTGGCCCTGTATTATTGATCATACAAATATTTTGTATCCATATTCCATAGCAGTTAGAGTCTTGGAGATTATTTATTAACTAACTAATAAAAGTTAATAAATCCATCAAAATTAGATATTACTTTTGTACAAATGGGTATATGAGTATATCCAAAGATCCGTATGACCTATATGTGTAAACTGAAGTAAAATAGGAAATTTCTGCATGTTGGAGATACATAAGGGACTAATTTTGTAAATCAGTCAAGAATCTTTCATCTATTTCATTATCATCATCTTCGCTCCATCCACTAACGCTTGCAAAAAGCACATCTCTTCCCCGGCGTTGGTTGATATATAAATATCACACAGTTTCCCAAAAAAACCCATTTCTTTGCGCTGCGTCCATCCTTCTCAGACATTCCCCACAATTTGACCTCTGAAAACAGAAGGATTTTGACTTCGATCGACAAATCCAACTCAAATTTCAACAAAACTATCTGAATTTATCAAAGGTATGTTACCAATCTAATCTTTCTTTCAAAAGATATAACATCCAGCAGTTTATGTTCGTAGTGCTTTCTCGAGATTGATGATACGACCAAACCCAACTTTTTTTAAAATATAAAGCAAATTTGATTATGATGGGATTTCAAAATAGTAGATCTTTTCTGCTCTTGATGTTCATGTTGTTCTTAAAATTGACGATTCCAACATAACCCCAGTCATTTCTAAAGCTAAAAGCAACTTTGATATGATGGGGTTTCGTAATAGTAGGTTCTTTTCAGTTTTCAACAATTAATGACTAGAAACTGATGATTTCAACAAGCCCAACTCTTCTTTGAAACAAATGCAACTTTGATTTCGACGGGGTTTCAAAATCTCAGATCTTTTCAGCAATTTATGTTCATTTTTCCATCAGATCGGATTGGTAAAGTTGAAAGGCTTTAGGATTTTCTTTTACAGGTGTTGGTTCAGATTGAATTGAATTGAAAAGGGTATAAAGGTTTCACATCTGATTGGTTGTTGACAATAGGGAGGTAGAGGAAAAGATCGAGATCAGATCCATAGGGGAAAAGGGCAATTATGTCTTTTACCGGAACACAGCAAAAATGCAAGGCTTGTGGGAAGACTGTTTACCCAGTGGAGCTTTTGTCTGCTGATGGTATTGATTATCACAAATCTTGCTTCAAGTGTAGCCATTGCAAAGGTACCCTTAAGGTATGATGATGATGAATAATTTTCTTTTAATGTTTATTTCTTATGATCTATATTTTAATTGTACGATAATTAGTTCTGGAATTGATGTAAATTATGTTGATAATCATTAATGGCGCCTGTGGATCTAAGATATTTGTTCAGGGGACATTATTCTAATTAACATTCCTTGTAATATGCTTGTCCATTATGAATTAAGATAATGAAATGGGCACAACTGTATAGTTTATTGATAATCAAGAATGGTTGACTTTCAGACCAGTTATAGTTGACTTTTCATTGCAAACTATTTATCATTCTTATAAAATGCAGCAAGAATTGATGAGTTTATACGAAATTGTGGAAATAAAAAGATAAATCAAGAATGCAAGTCTAACCTATTTTAAAATCTAATACCAATGAAAATTGTTTTGAATTTGAATGACATTGCACCGATTTTAGACTGAGTAATTATAGTTACATTTCAGTTGAGCAATTACTCATCAATGGAAGGTGTGCTCTACTGCAAGCCTCACTTTGAGCAGCTCTTCAAGGAGAGTGGAAATTTCAACAAAAACTTCCAATCACGTATGCTTTTTTCATTCTCATTTGCATTTTGTAGGTTCTTTTGATCATTTTTAGTTTGAATCTTTGACGGGTTGTCGGGTTTTTTTTTTTTTTTTTTTACAGCTGCAAAGGCGGCTGAGAAGTTATCTCCAATGCTGGTAAAATTTCGGTCTTTTTTACATAAATATTAGGCCATGATTTTTATTTTTTTTGTCATTAAATGATGTTTGAAAGATATTTAAGGGTTAAATGGTCAAAAAGAAACAACACCTAATTATGATTATATGTGTAGACAAAGTCACCGAGCAAAGCTGCAGGCATGTTTTCGGGGACTCAAGAGAAATGTGCTACTTGTGGCAAAACTGCTTATCCTCTCGAGAAGGTATGTTATAAGGCTTATTCATTTCATGCTTAAAAATCACAATGTCACTTAAGAAGATGAGAATCCATAAGTAAGGTATCAGGTTTACATTTGAGCACATTGTGATTACCTCCCACATGTTGGCTGTTGGCATTTGCCCTTTTTTCTAATATTCTGATTGGTATTTGTTATTTAATTCAGGTAACAGTGGAGAATGAATCATACCACAAGTCTTGTTTCAAGTGCTCCCATGGAGGCTGTTCTTTATCTCCGTCAAACTATGCAGCATTGGAGGGGATTTTGTATTGCAAGCATCATTTCTCACAGCTCTTCAAGGAGAAGGGGAGCTACAATCATCTCATCAAGTCTGCATCCATTAAGCGCTCTGCAGCAGCAGCAGCAGCAGCAACAGCAGCTGCAGCTTCTATCCCAGAAGTTTAAGTTCATCATCTTCATCTTCTTACCATTTTCCAACAAAGTTTTCAGCTTGTTTTGCTTGTGTTTGTCTTTTATTGGTTATCGTTTGATGAGTAAGCTTTCCTTTCGACTTATTGACTTCCTTTTGTTTGATTGGTTGGTTCCATGGGTGCCCATATTTATCTAAACATACTACTCCCTCTGTACTTGAAATTTAGTTGTGACTTATTTCTCATACACTCAAAACTCTCTTTTTTCTTGCGTGTTTCTTATGGTTTCAAAGATACCACCCCAGAAACAACTGTTGAATAGATATAATCATGGAAAAGGGGTATCCAACACACCCTAATCTTGGGATTTTGAAAAGTTTTTAAACAGATAAATCACTACAAACTTGATATAATGTAATTTTGTGGGATTAATTCTACAACTCTTTTTCCATAAAGAATGTAACAAAAGAAGAATTTTCTCTAATTGGGGAAAGTCTAGAGATGTGTTAGCCTAAGGGTTTCCTTGCCAAAATTGTTCCTATCAATGCCGTGTCCTTGAATGCAGAAGCAAAAAACGAGTCAACTCAGCTTAAGTTAAAAGTTAAAAACAGTAACATTTTCTCATTTGGAGCTACGTTTCTTAACTTCTCCATAGAGAATAACACCAAGAACTGTGAGTGTGTAGCCAGCCATCCCAGTCACAGAAACAGGATTCCTAAAAATTAATATTGAGACAACTACTGCTACTGCTCCCTTTGCATTTCCAAGGACCTGCACCAATCAACCAGTTAAAAAGATGAAAACTTCTATAAACTTTTGTAATTGTCAATGACCCAATGATACTAACCTGAAGTGTAAGGGCGCTTGTATGTTTTGTGACCAAAAAATTGGTTAAATTCACAAAGTAAGCAAGTGAAGAGTTGAAAATCAAGAGCCAAATGATCCCAAAATCTTGTCTAGCGAGTGCTATTGTTATGCCGACCACATTCTCTTCCATGTACATTGTTGCTGGAAGCAGGAGTATGACAGCAATAGGAGCCATGTACAGAAGGAGATTCATGGAGTTCAGCTTCTCACTTAAGCAAAATAACACGTATTTACTCGTCAGATATAACAGCCTTGATACAAATCAATGGACCTTGATAGATTATGGTAATGAAGAAATGTTTACCCTTCAGAAGTAAGCAATATCCCTTGTACCACGGTTTTGAGTGCTCTGGCAGCTGTCGCACCAACACACATTATGAATCCAAACAGATTGAAACTTGGCTCGCCCTAAAGAAGTGAAATTAGCAAAAGAACATACTCAAAATCGGAGCTGATTTGACTAATTTCAGTAGATTCTTATCCAATTGAAAAAGAATAGAGATGAAAACATACCCCACTGGCGATAACAACGCCGGTGACTACAGGAATGAGGGTGATATACGTAAGCCAATCTTCACTCTTCAAAGTCATGAGGTACGCAAACACCGCCGTGAAAAATGGCGTCGTAGCGCCAATTGCTTGATTAAACGATACAGGCAAATACCTAAGCGAGATATTACCACTGACAACCGAGGCACAGAAGATTAGACTCAAAGCAGAGATTTTAACGAATTGAACACGAGATCGGATGGTCTGCAAAGGGACTATTTTCATCCATGCAATGGCGATGTAGCTGAGCAAAGCGCAGGAGGACATGTGACACATTGTAAGAAATATTGGGTACTTGAATCCGTAATTGCTTAACAAGTATTTGTTGAGTAACAACACACCAATGTTCGATGAGTACCATGCTGATACGAGCCCTAACGTAAACAATTTGCTCGATGGGGGGCTCTTTATTGCCGACATTTGGGAATTGGAAACAGCAAAAAAGTAGAGTATAATCGGTTGCTGTGTTCCTCTCTGTGTAATTACTAATTAGTGCACAGAGCGCAATGAAACTGGAGGAGAAAACATCAGGGGACCAAGAGAGAGAGAGAGAGAGAGAGAGAGAGAGAGAAGAAGATGAAATGAAATGAAAAATAAGGAAGTGAAAACGTGAGAAGGATAGAGTAGGAGAGGGTGGTGGGTCGCGTTTTGAGGACCGACGAAGATTATGCATTGCTCCGATTGAGAGAGAGATATTACAAGTTAGAACTATAATTATTATTATTATATTATTATATATATATTAAAGTTGTGGAGGAAGTAATAGTGAAGTTGGCATATTTTGTCCAGGTCCCTTGATTTATATATCCGGTCCCTGTACTTCTTTAATTAATTTATTCATGTCTTTTTGTTTGTGTTCCATTCAACTTCCCATTTTTTTGGCAGAATTGGTCCATGTATTATTGTTGGAAGTTAGAAATACTAAATTTGGATGTTTTTTGGCAACTTTGCTCATTATTCTTTACCCATTTTGACACTTTTGGTCCTTGCAATCAATATTTTTACACTTTTTTGGAACCTTTTAATATTTAAAAACTTTAACGGTTTGACAACTTTGATCCCTTTTCTAAAAAATTGCTAATTCCTACCCCTTTAATTCTTTAGCAATTTTCACACTTCTGGTCCTTGCAGTCAAAACTTTTATATTTTTTGTCTGGGGCAAAGCCCGGACTTTTCATCATTGCACTTTCTATGTCTGTCATATTTATCAATTCGGAAACAACATTGAAAGCTTCTGGCCCCGCGTAGCGGGGTAACCTTTCTAGTTATTATTAAAGTTATGAAAAGTTTTAACAGTAAAGTGTGGCACCTTTTTTGTCAATTTTGGTCCTCCAACTTACAACATTGACCCTTCATCTTTATGCTTTTGTTCACAAACAACCCTTTCACTTTGGTTTGAATTTTTCATAACCCTCGCCTTTTATTACATATTATTAGTATTTAGTCTTTTGGCAGAAATGGTCCCTCGTCATTATTATTATTATTGTTAGACAAAATTACACGATTGGTCCCTGTGGTTTACCAGATTTAACATTCTCTTTTTGGTTTTAAATTAATGTTTTATTTATTAGAAAATACTCACCCCAATACCATAAACCCACCCACCATCTGTCATCACCACCACCACCACCGCCAAAATTACATAAATGGTCCATATGGTTTACCCATGGTGACAAATTCAGTCCCTACTACCTGAAAAGACCAAATTACCCTCACATTAACGGACAAAAAGCAACCAACATGCTACTTTACTTTACAAAGCAATACCTTCCGACCCCGGCAACGCCGGGGAATCTTTTCTAGTTTTCTATTAATTGTATAAATATTATGTATTATGATATTATTTATTCGTCTATAATATTTAACTGTTTTACACCTACACCTCTACATGTAGGGATGTAAACAACTAGGCGTTTGACAAACAGTTCCTGAAATGTTCAACAAAATGTTTGGTTGTTTCAGTTTGGGATCAATATTTCGGAGAAAATGATGAAACCGAACGGGGTAGTACTCAATCCCAATTTGAGGTGAAAGTGGGAATTGAGCACCTTGTTGAATCTTTGGAATCGGTTCGGGTTTAGGTCAATACCGACTCGGGCTCGGTAATTGATCTAGTGTGCTCATCTTTACTCTTTAATGATACTCTAACACTTGTATTTCGCTTGAAGGGAACAAAATCTCACCACTTTATTAAAAGTTACTAATTTTCTCTTATGTTATTTTGTTAATGCTTGCATTCTGTTGCCAAATTAACTAATTTTGTAAAGAAAATGAAACAAACGAATGTTGTAACGAAAATGAAGCATAAACACAAATTTGAGATGATTTCATAAACTGAACCAAATCTGTATCTACTATTTGTAAACTATCATGTTGTGTTTTGTAATAGTGTATGTGTATAATCATTTTGACACACCAACATACATTGGAAATCCATTTAGATAGTGGCGGAGCTAGATGGGGCGTTGGGGGTACTACAGCATCCCCAAAAAATTATTTTATGTATATAAAAAAATTTATTTGTAAACATGTTCTATGTTATTGTACCCCCAACTTAAGATATTGTACAATGTTTTTTAATGTCCGGGATATAATAACTACATAGAATATATATTGATAATGTTTGTACCCCCATATCAAAACTCATGGCTCCGCCACTGCATTTAGATGGATAGGGGAGATAGAATGCTGACAATCTTTCTTGAAGAATGACCGTGTCATATAGTTATCTTCCGACATGTTCGTTACGATGACCTATAGATAACTCTAAGAAGGAAAAATTACATCAGAGTTAGCAGTAACGCAAAACATGACAAAAACATGGAACAAACATATGAACCCGAAAACGTGCAAAATGAGGCAAATAAGGAAACGGTAAGTCAATATGAACAGTTAAACAATAACATGGAAAAAAAAAGGGCATCCGAACTCTATTGGAGCCCAATTTCAACTAAAAATGATTATATGTCACCGATTGGGGTACAAACCCAAGTCTTAGATCGACAATACATATCACGTATATCCATGACATATCTCCTCGGGTCCTCTCTAGTTTCTAAGGTCCACTAAATCGTCTCTCAAGGTATACTATGATATTCTTTTTTCCAAGTTGATAAACACCATATGAAGATCCCTACTTCTTTTTCTATATTTCTCCCAAATATGTGTAAGGAGATGGACCGCCTTAGTTGTTGACCTCACAGACACGAAACCGAATTGGTTTTATAAAACAGTCATGATGCTTTTTAACCTACCATATAATACTCGATCCTATAATTTTAGGGTATAACTAAGTAACTTAATACATCTATAGTTCCTGCAACTTTGTACGTCGCCTTTATTTTTATAAATAAGAATCACTATACTCGATCTTTATTCTTATTTCTTATATAGTCATATTGACTACTTACCAAAAACTTATAAGCTTCAAAAGCTTAGGCGGGAAACTTTATAGTTACATTAATACTCAACGTATACATGATTTATACATATTGTATAGTTATATATTTGCATATATATAAAGTTGCAAACCACACATGCAAGTGTATAAAAACATGCCACAAACAAATTATATTTTTTCGTAATGTTGTGTTTGTAAGGTCCCCTGATCGTATAGCCTAAGTGACAACCATATTAATGTATGACCCAATGTTGGTCTCCTACAAACGTTTCATCATAACATGGGCTCATCAAAGAAACGATAATAGGTCCCTTTCAGTCATGCATTCCCTTGCGATGTTCTCCTTCACAACCAGTCATGTTCTCTTACTATATTACCATACATACTTAAACAACACATGAATGACATTATGGATCAAAGAGGCACCCTTCAATCACAATAGGCGGTCTAAGAGATGGCATGGTCTTCATTAATTCAGTTAACACGGTCACAACATTATTAGGCCGTGCCAATCTGTTTTAAGAAAACCTTATTTTTGGGAGAGAAAAAAAAAATCAAACATCAAGATTTTATTTCTAAGAAAATAAGAATAAAACTATCAACCCAAGCATCTGGTTAACATGGAAATATAATTACCATTCCATTTTTATGAAACCTTTATTGAATATAAAACCTTCGTGTTGGTAATTATTAAATTATTTTGCAACAATAACAATAATAGATAATGATAGTAAACATTAGTTTGAGCCACCTTTCTTAAAATCATGATATTGATCGAAAAATTTTACGAGAAAAAAATGATGATTCTAATAGAAATAGGATCATCCTTGTAGCAAGATTGGACCTAGGATTATACTATAGGATCGGATGTAGGATCATCCTACGGTAATCTCAAATATCAATTTATATATCGAAAGCGAAGGTAACATCAAATATCAGTTCAGAGCATTGGGTGTGGGCAACAAGATGCAACACCAAGTTATGTCACCTCACATGCCACATAAGCAAATGGTGTTATAACACCAAGTGGGGAAATGAGCAACAAGATGCAAACCAACTTTTTGAGAATAAATATTTTTTATTTTTGATTTTTTTTTCGAATTTGGTTTTTTTTTCCTTTTTTGTTTTTTTTCCTTTTTCGTTTTTTTTTCCTTTTTACGTTTTTTCACTAAAATGAATATATTTTTATAAAACATAAAATTTTAAAAACCAAAAAAAAAAAACATAATATTTCAAATCTAAAATTACGATTACAATTAAAAAAAACATAATTTTAAACCTAAAGTCATAACTAAAATATCATTCAAATTACTCATAAAATCCTAATTAACCCAAATATTGCTTCCTAATTTGTTCCTTCATCGTTTGTAGCACCGCTAGATCAGCAGGCGCCAAACCCTCCTCGCTCGTCCGAAGAATTGACAACTGATGTGTCATTAGTTTCCTCTCTTTTTGCGTCTGCTTCTCTCGTGTCTGCCTTTCTAGGAACTCCAAATGACGACGTTTCAAGTCATTTTTTTTCTTTTATTAATAAATTGTGCTCGTCGAATTTCGCTCTCGTTTCCGCCGCATCTTTTGTTTTCGCCTCAACCTCCTCTGCATGTCTTGCAACGCGCCTCGCTTTGTCGCGTCCGGACGGTCGTCGTGGTGGGGATATCTCCTCGATATCATCCGGGATCTCATCGGTGTCAGCGTTTAGGTCGGTGTCCCCGGCAACGACGCCAAAACTTGGTGGGATGTCAAGTCCACTAAGCAAATTACACCCTTTGTTTGCAAATAAAACGTAATATAATGGTAAAAAAGGGTATCGATCCTCTGGGAAATGGTTGTATTCAATCACCAATGCAATCCAATAGAACTAGTGAAAATAAACTAACTAACTACAATTAAACTAAAAAGGGGGGGGGGGGGGGTGTTATGATTGCTTGAAAACTAAAAGACTTGAATAACTAAAAACTTGCAATTAAGCAAGAAAGTGAGATGCTCACAAATTGGAGAGAATTGGTAAACCAAGGCAATTCAACACAATGAACATTTGTGTGTTTATCATTAGGATTTAACATGAAGCTTATCATTCATCCCAAATTGGTTATAGCAATCATGAAGCATGATACGCCAAGATTTCTCATAGGTAGTATGGAGGTTGGGGAAGCCCACAACACACCTTCTTAATCAAGATCAAGGGTCAATTGAAGCAATTGAACCCAAGAAATTGATTAGCCTTAAGAATGAAGAAATCCCCAATTCCTAGAGGATGTCAATGCTTACACATCCATAAAGGAGTTATGATTCATAAGCTAGAGATGATTTCTACCATCATAAAGCATTTGTTCTAAGTAAATCCAATGATTCAATGCTAAACCAAAGAAATAAACCAACAATTGCTTATTAAAGTACCAAGCTCATGATCAAAGCACTAAACAAGCATATGAAATATGAACTAGAATCATAGACATAAGATAAATGATAAATAAGCATAAATCCTTCAAAAACCCACAAACATTCAGAGGTTTTAGCCAAGATCTACCAAAATAGAGAGTTTAGCCACTCATGGCAATAGAACAACAATCACAAAAGTCTAATTGCATAAAGAAACTACCAATAACTTGGAAAGATGAAAAGAAATGAGTCTTGAGTTCCAAAATCGCCTTCTTCTGGTCTCCAATGGTGTAAAATCGAAGTTATGGCTGCTAGATCTGATCCCCCAAGGTAATGGCAAGCCAAATGACCAAAATGCCCAAAACTGGGCAGTTGCGCGGGTACCCGCGCGACGAAAATTCCACCCGCGCAAATGTTGTTGTAATGCTATTGGTCCTTCATTCCTCCACTCCATCCTTCCACTACCAAAGATTCCTTTGGTCCCCTCCATATCCATGTGATTTAAACCAACCAATCATCTTTTAGCTTTAAGGAATGGATGCTCCAAGCCCAAATTAAATGTTTATGACCCATCTTTACAAGCCCAAAATATCCAAGTCTTTAACTCTTAAGGCCCAAATCTCCTTTTATGGATCCGCCAAGCCCAACAATGTCTCGAGAGCCCACTAATCCCGTTTCCAATCAACCCGCGTCCGCAACGAACACCGAAAACCCTACAAAATACCTCATGCAACATAAAAAACACCCGGTATGATCCATAATAAAGAAAATAAATAAAATACAATGCAATAATGATAAAAAGAGTTAAAATACTAAAATAAACTAATAAAAATAAGGAAATAAAATAAGCTATCAACCGAGCTCGAATTGCGAGACCTTTTGGATTGAACCTCTGACAAATAGGCGTTTTATTCCACCTTGGATCCGCTCGCAATAACTCCCATGATTTTTCAAAGTCGAAAACATGTCCCATTTCGAACCAATATTGTTCCTTTGCAGATTTGAACAAATCGAAGTCGGTTCCGCTTTGCTGTTGCGCCTCAAACCGGTTGTAAATATCGTTGAATTTGTTGCACCGCTTAGTTATTTGACCCCATTTGCTGCTCAACATGTCATTGTTGCGATACGGTTTTTTCTTCAAAATAGCGTGAAACTTGTTGCGCACCGCCCCCCCAATAAGCTCTTTTCTTCATTCCATTTCCGCGGAGTTCGTCTTTTGAAGTAGTACACCAAGCCGTCGTCAAAGCATATTCCTCCTTCGGTGTCCACCATAGTGGAACGTCTGTATTTTCTGTTTCAACCGCCATCGATTTCCCTTTTGATTTTGCTTTCCCTTTCCCTCTCCTACTACCTCCCGCTTCCACTTCAACCGATGGTTGTGTTGTAGGTGGTGGTTGGGTGGTTGTTTGTTGCATCGAAGCAAAAGTAGGGAAAATATTTTGTTGCAAATTTTGTTGAAGATAAGGTGAGTTGGGAAATTGCAGTGGTGGTGAAGCGGGATTGAAAGCAGCACCTTGGGACGATAAAAGGTTAAAAAAAATTCATAACCCGCAAATCCGAGAAGCGAGGTTGTGTTTGGTTGTGTGTTTGGGTTTGATGATGGAGGGGGGTGTTTGGGTTTGACGATGGAGGGGGGTGTTTGGGTTTTTTTCCATTTTTTGATTAAAGAAAGTGTATAAAATATAGAAAGAATGATACAAAGATGTAATAATTGAATTAAAACGAGTATATATATAAAGGTAAAAAGCTAAATTTTTTTTTAAAAATTTTGAATGCCCAACATATCTTTTTTTCCCGTTTCAATACCTCACAACGGCCACGAGAATCGGCTCAACAAGATGCAACGAGTAGAGGAGGGGGGGGGGGGGGGGGGGGTCGGGTCGGTGTTCCCCCGTTACGACGGCATTTCCGTCATCCACCTCAGCCACAACGAGTCTCAACAAGACCCATACCACATACTCTCATAAATCGAACACATAGCCTTAATAATTATTCCATGATTCCATCCAACACAAAATCAAGCCTAAACAATTCATCCATCGAGCTCTATGCCAAACATCAATGTGGCTTAATAAAGACACATGGCTTCACAACATCGTGAGTAGTAATTTTATACCATGATTTTATAATTGTTAAACAAATATTTGTTTTTTTATGCATCAAGTTTTGTTGTCGCTTGTATAGTAGATATAGAATTGAAAAATGATATCAATATAACAATTACTTCAATTTGGTAGGATCTTGCATAATGAAAACCATCAATCTTCAACTTGATTTAAACAATTTTACCTTGGTCCAAAACGATATCCTATTAGAATTTGATCATAACATGCATAGTATATAATGATGAAATTCATTTGAACATGTAGTCTTGCTCTCTTTAAGAAAAGGTAGAAGACATTGTAATGCTCTAGACATGTTTCCATATAAAAAAATAAAAGCTTCCATCACAAACCATCAAAAAACTACTACAAGAACAATGAAAATAAAAGCAGCAACATCCTCATACCAATGTTGAATAAACCTGCAAGCACAAAGAGATTACAATGAATTACAATCAAGTGAAACTTCAAGCAAGCATTGTAGTTGCAAATCAAGAATATAACAACCTCTCCATTGGCAACAACATTTCATAGGGATACTACACACTAGAAGCTACAACTTATCAATATGATCAGCATGTGCAAATTTTCTATCAATTGTGCTGGTTGACATATTTGTGTATGCATAGAGATCATACACATACATGTTCAAGGAATCAGATGTTTAACAGCGATGAATGATTAATAAATCTAGTAAATGATTGTGGGTCAACTTATTTCTATTTGTCAGCTTATTAGACAGGAGAATCAACTAGCTAGAATGTAGCAAAATGATGAATTGAAGACTTAAATTACAGGTTTTCATCCCCTCAAAAATTCATAAACAATCAATTGAATAACATATTTCTAACAAGTAAAAACAAAATGAAGAAGAAAATGTATAAAAGATACCTCAAATATTGCTTGGGTACATGAACACTCTAACCCTAGATCCCTGCAAAACGAAAGAGACAAGCATTTATCAAATTCTGACACCAGAAATCATTCAATATGCTGTAAATATGTTTCATTTCTGATTTATAAGTGTGAATTACCATGGATTTGGGAGGAAGATTAGACGTGAACTTAGCACGCACAATACCAGTGTTACCATGAGGCCTAGTAACCTTTCCCCAAATGCACCTGTAATGTGATCCGTTCTTCTTCACCTTTGCCTTGTAGACGTACGCCATCCGTTTCCCTTGATACCATCCTACCTCCTCTTTCGTGTTAACTCCTTCAATTTGAACCAACGATGTATTTGGGTACTGGTTCGACTTCGACCTGAACCAAAACATGAGAAAACGTCAATAAACTTCCGATTTCAATAACAATTTCATTGAACAATCTTATCAATGTTATTTAGAAGATGAACTTTACTTTACCTCTTGTAGCCCAGAATCGTTCCTCTGGTGTAGAGTCTGAAATTGAAAATCATAAGTAAGCAAATATGTTCCAAACAGATTTTGAATATGATTAGGAGACTAAGGGTTCACAGAAGAGAATAGCATTATACCTGACTCTTTCCCCTTGACGACCCTTCACCATCTTCCTTGAGCAGAAACTTACCGACCGCCTGCACTGATAAGAACGAATAAAACCCTAGATCTCATACGAGACGATGATTTATACTTTTATAGATGTGGATTATTCGGGAGCAAAGAAAGTTAGGGCTTTGGATATAAATTTGTGGGCTTGAAGATGGTTGGGTTTCAAGATTGCTTAGCCCAGATTATTGTTTGACCTGTCCATAAATATCATGCTTACTTACTTCCTTTGACAAAATGTACGTTAAATTTACTTATCGTTAGACATTTCTTGTTTCGAAATAATTTTTTCAAGAATCAGCAATCAAAGGTATTATTAGTTTATCATCAAATTAAGTGTATGAAAAAAAGTTGAAATCGGACCCGACAAACTGAACTGAACCTGAAAATATAAGGAACCGAAAGTTAGAATGATCAAAATAAAGGGTTGTTTTTGACTTTTTGTTACTTAATATGTATAATGACTTAAACACCTAATATGTACATCTGATGATGTTTCTGGACATAATGACTAAATAAGTTAAGCCAAAAAATATGGTTTAATATAATAGCACATTAATCATTTACCTATTTATCGTTTTTCTTTTTTTCTTCCGGTCTTTTTTCACTTTAAAATTGATGAATCCCTTACCTAAACTGATAAATATTATAAATTTGTTCTTCATAGTATACGTATAAATATTTATTTAGGCTATTTATTAAGTGTACACATATTTTATATACCCTAAATTGAGTATGTTATTGAGTTTATCAAATTGAGTATGTTATTAAGTTTCAAAACTATAACATGTATTATTTAAGCTAGATTTTCAATGGTTTATCAAATAAAAACCTACTAAAAATATATATTTTTTGGTACAATCAACCTATATATAAAGCTTTTTGATTTGCAGTATAATAATTATATTTGCTTTTTTTAAAATTTCGACCATTATATTTCTTCTACAATAAATATAATTTTTATGCTCTTAATTATAACAATTATAATATATATATATATATATATATATATATATATATATATATATATATATATGTAATGCCCGTGTTTCTAGGCTAGACATTTATATTGATATTATAGTCTAGGTTAACCTTTGTAACTCATTTTGAAGAAATGAAAAGGAATTATGTGAATTATGTGTTTTATGCTTAATTATTAGGGCTTAATTAATTAAGAATAAAAATGAGCGTCAAAAATTAAATTTTAGATAAAGCCGATATCTATTAAGAAACTTGAAGTGGGCGTGACAAATATTACAAAATATATAAAGAATGCCGAAATCCGAGTTATAACTAAGAACTTATGACCTGTCGAAGTTTCGCGACAAACCGGCACGGGGCCGAATGTCGTAAAAAGTGAGTTTTTGATAAACTACTTTTTGGCCTTAGTGATCTAAACGAAACTTGTAGTGTTCGTTAAACCGAGAGTAGGTATAAAAAGAACGCCCAAATCTGACTTCGTATGAGGAAGTTATGATTTTTCGAAGTTTCAGCTTAGCAGTAGACAGCTAAAAACTCGAATTTTAGATCGAGTGATTTTTAGCCGACACGACCTAAACGAGAATCAAAGGTCTCGTCATTAGTAGCACAACGGTAAAAAGTCTGACGAAAACAGACGTCGGATGAAGAAGTTATGAATTTTTAACGGATTTCCTGTCCCGGTCTGTTAAAAATAATAATATAAAAATTAAAGTCAAAATTAGCCGACGAAGTCTAAACGAAAGTTGTAGAGCGTAATTTTACCTACGTGTGCATATAAAGAACGTCAAAAACGGAGTTCGTATGCGAAAGTTATGGATTTTAGAAGTTTTGGCGTGAAAATCGAGAAAATTCGCATAGTCACGTTTTGCCACGTCACCTTCGCTGAAAGAGTGCCACGTGTCCGAAATTGGTGAGTCATGCGAAGCCACGTATCACCTCCCTCGCATGAACAGTAGCTGCGTGTCGGATTCTGATTCGACCGAAGGGAGGCCCAATCTGAAGCTCGCACCCTGGATCGAGCCTCGCACGCCTTAGCCTTCGAGCCTCGCACATGGACCACTAGACCTCGGTCCAATCAGCAGCTGCCACCGAGGCCTTCGCACGTGCAGCCACCTGCGCACCTTCGCCTGCGGACCCCACCACCGGAACCGACTTCGGACCCCCTATAAATAGAAGGGTCATGCGAGCCTTCTCGGATACATTTAGAAAATCACCATCTTTCACCCATTTCTTCATATTTTCTTCATCTTAGCATCCCCCAAAGCCCCGGTATCGATTATAAGCCCCAGAATACGCCACGAAGAGCCCGTGAAGCCCGAAAAATTTATCTTTTCGGTTTCGAAGCCCGACCCTCGCAGAGCCTGGTTTCTGAATAAAACTCCCGGTTTTATTAGAAACGAACGTTTTAGGAAACGAATTGTTGCCCGATTTTCATCAAATCAAGTGAGTGTGTAGTCACTTTCATTTTACACATAGATATGAAGTATTTACATTATAATACATGCTATATGTAAATATATTAATTGTTTATTTGAGGTGACTGTTGAGTTGATGTTTTATACAAGTTTTAAACTGTATATGTATTTTTATCTACAAATATGTTGGGTAGAACATGGGTAGATAGTGATGTGTCATAAAAATAAAAGTGATGAGAGGCCTCGTTGTGATTTTGTGATTCAGTCATCTAGCGGAGTTTGGATGACGACCACGAACTTTCTAGACAGTCCAGTGGGAAGCACTAGCAGGCCCGCAACCTGTAGGTGTTAATGAACTTGGGTGTTTATTCGCTGTACTCCATCCCTCTCATGGTTACCTTTAGGACATGTATGGCTGAGGAAACCCCTTAGCAGTAATGTCCATCCCGATCATATTCTTTAGGCTAGGTCCCTTGTGAAAAGTGTTTAGGGACGTAAAGTGAGGATAACGGGAACGGGTAATCAGGGTTATTGTTGATTGGTGAACTTAATAAGTTTATTATTACTGTGGGTTGAAAACCCTATATGCTCACCAGGCTCCCAAGCCTGACCCACTCAGTTTTTTTATGATTACAGGTAGTGGACCCCGAGCATAGTCGGAGGATGACGTGAGATTTTTGGATTATAGGCCAGTAGTTGTAAATAATTGTAGTAAGGCTTATAATGTCTTGTTTATGCTTTTGATCTGCATCGGAACATGACATCCCGAGGTTTTGATATATATGGAAAATATATACCTTCTTAATGAAGGGTTTTGATAAACTTTTATCATATGTTGTTTGGGGACCAATTCCGCAACATCTTTTGAAAAGATTTCTCTGATTTTATTTTAAAAAGCATAAATTAAATCGGTCTTTTCTGGCCGAGAAATTAGGGGATGTCACAGTTGGTATCAAAGCATTAGTTTAAGCGAACTAAGAAATATCCTACGATTTCTAGACTTAAACTTAGAATGCTAAGTGATGATTGTGAGATGAGTGTCTCCCATATTTTAGACACGAGCACTAGTTTATTTTAGGAAAGATGCCTAAAATGCCCTTATGTGCTAAATGTTATGTGTTTGCCATATGTGCCATTATTTGTTCGGATCTATGGTCTGTTGCAGACCGGATCTGGAAACCTAATGTGTGTAGGATTCTAAGCGTATGATTACGAGATTAGAACTAACATGTAAACGTTTCGGAGTGATAAGGGAATTGAAATTGTCTAACAAGGATAAAGACCTAAATTCGCCTTATTCGGTATATAGATTGTAATGGCAAGAACTCGTAGTGGAGTTGCGAATGCAAACGGAAACAAGGATCAACAGCCTCAACCTCAAGTAGTTGAGCAAGTACCTGTTGTAGGAGCTGCACCTGAGCCAATGACGATGGCTGGGGTACAAGCAATGATACAGACAAATGTTGGATCGCCAAATGGAGGAGACGAGGCGATTACTACAACAGAATAGGGAAGAAACTACGATGCCTGTTGAACAGCCCGTATTGAATGAAGGGAAATCAGTAGGAGGGAACTATAGTGGGACTCTTGGTCAAGCCAACCCACCGATAGTTAGACAAAACAACCATGATGGAGGAGTTGATGGACGCGGATGCAAATACAAAGATTTCATGGCATCTAAACCACCATGTCTATCTGGAAGTCCGACACCGGTGGAAGTCATGAAGTGGATCTCCGAAATGGAGACGATGTTTGAAAGTTGTGACTGCAGCAACAAACAAAGGACCGGACTTGCAATTCCTCTGTTAAAGTCTGGTGTGTTGAGCTGGTGGAAATTACTAGCTGATTCGATGCCCAAGGGAGAAGTTAGTAAGATGTCTTGGGAAGACTTTGTGCTACAACTGAAACTGCAATACTGCTCTGAGCAGGACCTTTTGGAAATTAATAATGAGTTCCAGAATTTAAAGAAGGGAAAGATGAGCGTTACTGAATACGCTGCTAGTTTTACTGAAAAGATGAAGCTTGTTCCTTACCTAGTTCCAACTGAACTCTCTAAGGTCAACAAGTTTGCCCTCGGATTATCAGCGGACTTTGGTCCGATGGTTAAGCAAGCAACCACTTTGAAAGCCGCCATCTGGGCTGCTAAGAATGTGGAGGTTTAGATCAGGGAGAAGGGTCTGGAGAGGGCAGAAGTTGGTGAAAAGAGAAAATTTGAAGGAACTTCAGGTTCCAACAAGAGAAGCAAATTTTCTAAGTCTAAGAAGTTTGGAGGAGGAGGAGGTGAAGTGAAATGGTGTGAGAAGTGCAAGAAAAAGCACTCTGGGAAATGTAGCGAGGAGGTGACTTGCTACAAATGTGGAAAGACTGGGCATTATGCCAATGTGTGTCCATCCGACAAGAGGGTATGTATTGAGTGCCATGAAGAAGGGCATGTTTTTAAAGACTGTCCAAAGAGGAAGGATGCAGCAAAGCCCAATCTACCACCAAAGCCAAAGGCGAGAGCCTTTCAGATGACCCTTGAAGCTGCAAAAGAAGAAGTCGATGTCGCTTCAGGTACCTTTCTCGTAAACGAATTGCCTGCCCAAATTTTGTTTGATTCTGGAGCCAATTACTCCTTTATATCGCATGAATTTGGTAGAAAACTAGCTTTGCCTGTAGATAGACTAGTTAATGCCTTATTAGTCGAGATTGCTAGTGGCAAGTTTGTACCTGTTAGCCATCGTATGAAAAATATCCTCATTGACTTGGATGGGAATAAGTTCCACGAGGA